GCGACCCCTCCTTGGGTTTCCGAGGCAGTATCACTACGGAAGTAGATTGCCCAACCCCACAGGGCAGTTCTGTTCTGCCCTACAGGTCACTATGAGTCAGAATCAACTTGACAGCTGTGCTGAATTGCTTGATGTGGCCCTTCTAGCCATTGTCCTACATTTTGTGATGTACTGTAAATCCTATTATCCATGCTTGTTTGGGGTGGTGTGGTAGTTTAAGGTCGGGTGTTAACTTCGCTGGGCAACTGGTAGTAGTAGTCCTTCCCTATAATGACTGGCAAACTGCTGTGTGTTGGGATTTGCCATGAGCAACTGAGAAGCTGCTGATTGTTAAAGCCATCCACTTGGGTTATTTCTGTTGGAGCAATACAGGGGGAATGTATCTTGAGTCCTGCCTTGCTGGAGGGTATAACTCAAATCACCACCCTTAGCTTCCTTGAGGTTATACCTATGAATCTCCTGGGAAGGTTTGCCCTCCTCTTGCTCCGGTTCTGTGTTTTGGCTCATTCTCATCTAACTCCTGGATTTGGGACAGCAGCTGTCATCTGATCTGATCGAGGTTTGTCAAACCCAAGAATTGGGAGGATCCTTTAGACCCACTCACAGACCTGGGACTTTCCAGCCTGCGAGCCTCCATCACCACTATGTGAGATGATCCCTTGGGTGTCTGTGAGTTATGTAAGGCATTACAGCGAAATACAGAACTCTAGGAAGGGAGATTATGGAGTGGAGAAGGATGAGTTAACGTCTGAAATGATGGAGTAGCATGGTAGTTTAGACATTTGGGAATCTTTAACCTTCGCCTCATGGGGACCGGCCTTGTGCTGATATAAGAGAAATTGTTCAAGCAATAGCAGTGGATTTTGGTAAGTCATGATAGGCTTTCATGGCACAGTGCTCGTCAAGAAAAAAACACAGAAAATAGATTAACAATAGAAGTGTGTCTTACTTCTTCGAGGGCTTCTAGTTCTTCCTCCAGCTGCTGAGTTTCCTCCTTCACTGCCATAAGGTAATCTGTAACTGACTGTCGGGGCTGCATCCCCTTTTCAAAGCGATTATACATGCCACTCCAAAACCTGGAAAGGATGGCAGGACTTGATATAATACCATCATATCACAATCTGTAAATGCCACACTCCCAAATCCTCTAAAGAATCTTTGATACCACACTCCCATAGTTTTAATAATGACCAAGTGCAAAGTCATTTCTTCATGTTGATGGTTTCTTTTTCTTGGGCCAGTAAACTTGTTTTGAGGAGACTAAATTCATGGATGGGCGCTCTTAGGCATAGTGCCTAAGGCACTTGACTGCTAACCAGAAGGCTGGAGGTTCAAACCCACCAGCCACTCCTAGGAAGGAAGGTTGGGCAATCTACTTCCGTAGTGATACCACCTCGGAAACCCAAGGAGGAGTCACTATGAGTTAGATCCAACTCAATGGCAGTGCATAAATTCATGGGAAGTGTCTATGTGTGCATATGCTAATGAATTAGAAGACACATCCAAAAATAGACTGAAGTATCCTGTGTTACCATTTTCTCTTTCTGGCTTAAGAAAATGGCTCTAGGTTTTGAAGTAAACTTGGAAAATTAGTGATTGTATTAATATTTAGGATCTTTCAGTGGCAAAGGGACTCTTTAAACTTGAAATTTTTAGGGTTTTTTTTCCATCACAACCACACCCCCCTTCATACACAGCATGACATCTGCATTTGCAATAAATCTTTCCCTTTTGTATCCTACACAATACAGCATACTGAAATGTAAACGAAAACAAATGGCACTATCGTAGGGCTATCTTTAGATCCACTTTTATTTAGAAAAGTACTTTGAAAGCAGAGACTCAGTGTCACTCACTGTTTTATCCTCAGTGCCTAGAAAAGTGCTTGGTCCTCAACAAAGTATCTGTTAACTGACTATTAATAACAAATTAGTTGCAGTATAATTGATTGCTGTGTGCCTCAATGGTTTTCAAAGCTTTCATTGTCTGACACAAATGATGGAGGCATGTTTTTAGTACAACAGAATTAATACACTGCTATAAAAGTGCTGAAGAGCAAAGATGTCTCTTTAAGACTAAGGAGCGCCTAACCCAAACTATGGTATTTTCATTTACCTCATGTGCATGTGAGAGCTGGACAATGAATAAGGATGACCAAAGAAGAGTCAATGCTTTTGAATTGTGATTATGGGAAGAATACTGAAACTACCATGGACTGCCCAAAGAACGAACAAATCTGTCCTGGAAGAAGTATAGCTGGAGTGCTCCTTGGAAGCGAGAATGGCCAGACTTTGTCTGACCTACTTTGGTCATTTTGTCAGAAGGGACCATTCCCAGGAGAAGGATATCATGGTTGGTAAAATGGAGAGTCAACAAAAAATAGGAAGGCCCTCAACGAGATGGACTGACCAAGTGGCTGCAATAATGGGCTCAGGTATGGCAAGGATCATGAGGCTGGCACAGGACCAGGCAGTGTTTTGTTCTGTTGTAACTAGGGTCAACCATGAGTCAGAGCTGACTCTACAGCACCTCACAAGAACAACAACATAAAATTCTAGGGGAATAATGAGGATTGAAATAAGAACAAAAGCACTGAAGAATAAAAATGATAAAATCGAACTCACTGCCATTGAGTCGGATCTGACTTATAGCGACCCCTCCTTGGGTTTCCGAGGCATTATCACTACTGAAATAGCAGTCAAATGCCTCAGGCACTATGCCACCAGAGCTCCTTACAAAAGCAATAGAGGAAGAAACTTCTCTTAGCTTGTTTGCCGTGAGTGGGAAGAAGGAATATCGTTTCTCTGTGTGTCTTTTTGCTGGCTTCTGAGCTATTTTTCCTATCAATAATCCAAAGGATAAAATATAACACACATACCTAGAATACATACCTAGTAGGAATGATCTCCCCATCCCAATATATACAATCTAAAAATAATTTGTTTTCACAAGGGTACATCACCAGAACTTAATACTTGATTTGGTGGAGACAAGAAGGTAAGACATGTCATGATTGCTACCTAAATTTAGGATCTCACACTTAACTTATAAGGCACCTAGTTTATTCAAAGGAGTTGTGGTGACATAGTGCCTAAGGCATTTGACTGCTAACTAGAAGGCTGGCGGTTCAAACCCACCAGCCACTCCTCAGAAGGAAGGTTGGGCAATCTACGTCCATAGAGATACCGCCTTGGAAACCCAAGAAGTCGGAAATGACTCGATGGCATTGAGGTTTTTTTTTTTTTTCTTTTTGGTTTAGTTTATTCAACTTTCTTATTTTCTCTTTCTTCTCTTCTGTTTCTTTTTCTTTCACATTTTAAGATAAATTAGAACTTGAATATTTAAGATACTATTATAAAACATTGAATTCTGAATTCTACTTTTGGGGGGCAGACACTTTCATGTTACCATTTTCTATGTGCTGCCAAGCTTACTGCAACCACATTAGTTACTGTGTGCCTGTTCCCACCTTCTAAATGATTATGTTCATAAAAGGGAACACCTAAACTAGCCAGTAAGAATCAACAAAAGGCCATAATCTATTTGCTAGATATATAAACAAAATCCAATGCAGATCACTTAATTTATAAAAGTAATGAACTGATTAATTTTTCTACTACACTTATGACTGGGTGTATGATTTTAATATTTAAATCACTCTAAGCTGATACTGCCTCGGAAACCCAAGGAGGGGTCGCTATGAGTCAGGGCCGACTCTATGGCAAATAACAACAACAACAACAACAAGCTGATAAAAGCTGCTTTGATTTGTAGCTCCTCTCAAGGGTTTATTTGAGCCATAATCCACCTTGAATATTTTCTTGGCATTGAGATTTAGTGTCAAGATTCCCTCAGTCCCTAGTCTGCAACAGTTGTATCAACTAAAAAAGACAAGGGATGGGATAGGGAGGGGATGGGGAGCAGTTGGGGAGGGAAGGGACGGAAAAGGGAGGGAATAAACTGGCAAAAATACCAGATCAGATATTCACGCATCCTCTCATGTATTTCATGTCCAATAAATCCTTGAAGCACAGTGTTTCATATGCTTCTACCTCCAAAATATTAGGCATTGAGAGAATCTAAATTCATAACCATATATAGTAAGTACGTACTTGTACATGAAGTTGCATGGTGTTGTGGGGAGATGAAGAGTTCCCTGGGTCTGACTATGATCAGCTCTAAACAGAGGATTAAGGTAGTCAGCTCGATTCTTCCACAGGTGATCCCATAAAGAGTATGTTCTTTCTTGAATTCTGTTAAAAAGAAAATTAGTCTAAAAATGATCTATCTTGGTTCTCAAAAATAGTTGATATCACATTTGGAAAGGTATCACTAATTGCTATGTCAGTATGGTAGTGTAGTGCCTAAGGCATTTGACTGCTAAGCAGAAGGCTGGTGGTTGAAACCCACCAGCCACTTTTCTGAAGGAAGGTTGGGCAATCTACTTCCATAATGATACTGCCTCGGAAACCCAAGGAGGGGTCGCTATGAGTAGGATCTGACTCGACAGCAGTGCACTTGGCTTGCTAGGCTATTCTGTAACAGAGAAATTTATAAGCTTTGTCCATAGCTTCATGGTATACCAGAAGAACACTGTAATAGTCTCAGCTCTTCTGTACTGGTTTGACAAAATGTTGAATCCCTCCAAATAGACTGCTCTAGTTTTTTGGGTTGTTTCCCCCAGATAATCACTGCATATTTATTATGTGTCACACACTATTCTAAATGTTTCACATGTGTTCTTTCATTTAATCTTTGCCAAATTCTTGTAGTTCATTTTACAGATGAGGAAACCGAGGCAGAGAGATTTAGCTTCCCAAGGTAACACAGCTAGTGATTAGAAGAGTCAGATTTCAAACTCAAACAGATATCATTAGAATTGGCTAGTCTAGCACAACAAATCACAAAACTATGTTTAAACAAACAGCTAAGTTTATAAAATGTACTCTTCTACTTTTAAATCCATGCATCAGGAACAACTCTTGAACATTCTCAGTGAAAGTATAAACTAGTATGCACCAGAGAAAGTAATTTTCTTTCTATTCATCTCAGGCAGTATACACCTACTAGAGTGTGTTCTATTTTCACTGATTATTCCCAAAATTAAATCATATTATTATACACACCCACAATTAAAATCATTTTGTTTTTTGAAAACCTCATAACTGTTCTTGCATTTGTACTTCATAAATCACTTTGGTTTTGTTTTTACTTCACTATTTTAAAGGCAGATTTTATGTATTTTTTTCCCTTTGGACAAAAGCAATACAATTTGTATCTGAACAAATAATGGCTTGAGTTTCAAATTTGCTTTCTTGGTTACATTTGCTATTCTTATTACAAAAATACATCTAACTTTTTCTTTTAAATGCAAAAATCACTTTCCCTGACTCCAAGAAATTTAAGACTACCACTCTTTTATAGGGATCAGGCAGAAAATTGGAAACTATGGAACCTGTATACACTTGTGTCAGTCTATGACATTTAAGCCATTTATGAAATGATATCAGGAGAAGAAAGTAACTTTGTTAGTATAGATGTGTGAATAAATCAAAGTCTTTCAAAATTATGAAAAGACATCTGAAATTCTCAATTACCAGTATCTTTAGATAAAAATTATACATCAAAGCACTTACTTGAGTTCTCGTCTCTCCTTTTGACTGTTACATAGGAAGTTTCCAAATTGGCAGGAATAAATGTGATGTTGAATGTGAATTAAAAACCTCTCATTGAACTCAAAGGCACAGGGAAATTGTTCCATTAACTGCCAAACACATTCAATGAACTGGTCAATAACTGGAGAGATTTCTTTTGGGTCACCATCTAGATTGCCATATCTATAAAAGAAAGTATCAGAGACTTTTTAAGGCAAGTTTTTTTTTAATGATTATTAGAAAACTATAAATGCAAAAAAAACATAAAAGCAATTTTAATTTCTAAATAAATCTTATAAACTTAGAAAGAATTTGAAAAAAATAACTTTTTACCTGTATCAAGAGAACCTTCCTACTGAAGGTCTGGATAAATGTCCATGTTACCATATTACAAAAGAAAGTGTTAGTACTCAAGGGACTTACCTCTAAAATATATAGAAAACTTCAACACTTCAACACCAAAAAGACAAACAATCCAAAAATGGACAAAGGACATGAACTGACACCACAGTAAAAAAGATATACAGGTGGTCAACAAACACATGAGAAAGTGCTTGCGATCATTAATCATTAGAGAGATGCAAATCAAAACAACCATGAGATATCATCTCATCCCAGCAATAACAGCAAAGTTCAACAAGACAGAAAATAACAAATGCTGGCAAGGGTGTGGAAAGATTGGAGCTCTCATACACTGCTGGTGGGAATGTAAAATGGTACAGCCACTGTGGAAAACAGTATGGTGTTTCCTTAAAAAATTGAAAACAGAAATATAATTTGATCCAGCAATTCCATTACTAGGAATATATCCTAAAGAGGTGAGATCCAGGACACAAATAGACATATGCACACTCATGTTCATCGCAGCACAATTCACCATAGCAGAGATTGAAACAACCTAAGTGTCCATCAACAGATGAATGGATAACCAACCGAACTGTGGTACATTCACACAATGGAATACTATGAAACATTAAAAAATAATGAAGAATCCATGGATCACCTCATAATGTGGATGAATATGGAGGATATTATACTGAGTGAAATAAGTCAGTCACAGAAGGACAAATATTGTATGAATCCAGTACCATAAAAAGTTAAGGAAAGGTTTATGCAGGGAAGGAAATTTACTTTGTTCGTTACTGGGGATGGGATGGGAGGGGTGGGGAAATTTCTGACTAGTTAAGAGTCACATGTTGATTTGGGTGAAGGGAAAGGCAATATAACAAAACTGCGTGACCAGCATAATGACAGTAGGGAAAAGGGAGGACACAGAAACATACATAAAAGATACAGACAACAGTGGCAAATACTATTACATGCACAATACTGCATTACCAGTGGCAGCAAACACTAGGCTATGGGTGAATGAATATACAGGTGAGAAGATCAGGTGTGGGTAGTCAAATAGGAATGTATCCAAGACCAAGAATAGATCTGGCTGAAGGTAGTCTTACATATGTACTGGTGCTACAAAAATATCCATATGTAATACATAAGTAACAGGGGACAAGGTTGGAGTAGTTTCTCAGAGACAACCAAACACCTTGTTTGGGAGAGAGTTACTAAGCCTGCAGGCTTGGGACCACAGTCTCAGGGGATACCATACTCAACTGGCTCACACAGTACATAAAAATCTTTTTCTACATCCTTCTTTGGTGAGCAGCGACTAGGGTCTTAAAAGCTATCAAGCAGCCATCTAAGATGCAACTACTGGTCTCCCCTTGTCTGGAGTAAAGAAGAGTAAGGAAAATCAAAGTCATTTGGAAACAGTAAGTCCAAGGATATGATGGAGCACAGGAACCTCAGCCTACACAATCCTGAGACCAGAAGAACTAGATGGTGCCCAGCTACCAATCCAACTACTTGGAAAGGGATAAGAATTGGAGGTCCTTTATAGAGTGGGAAGAAAAATGTGGAACAAAATTCAAAACCACAAAATGACCAGAATACTGGTCAGATAGAGGCTGGTGGAATCCCTAAGACTATGGCCCCAGGTTATCCTTTGGGCCTGGAACTGGACTTACTTCCGCAGATTAGCTCTCAGTCAAACAGTAGAAAAACCAACAAGCAGAACACCTACCCCCAGGAGATGCACCCACCTACCCTAAGAAGATGTACCTCCAGATCAACCAACCATGAGACATCAGAAGGGTAGTATTTGCATAGAAGCTGGACAGACAGGAATACATAGATAAGAAGAGCACAAGGAAGGGGTAGTCACAGGGAGGAGAGAGGAGGAGAGCTTTTTATGGTTGGGGATTGTAATTGGGGCCATGAAACAAAATGTGCATGAACTGTTGGGTGTAAAGCAAATCTGCTTTGTAAATCTGCACCCACAAAACCCAATAAATAATAATAATAATAATAAAAGTGTCAGTACTGAGGAGAGAGCCCTGGTGGCATACCCCTTAAGTCTTAGGCTGGGTTCTCTAGAGAATCAAAACCAGTGAAGTTTATATATTTATATATACAGAGAGATTTATCTCAAGGAAATGGCTCACACAGTTGTAGAGGCTGGCAAGTCCAAGTCCATGGGTCAGACTTCAAGCTAGAGGCTTCTCTGAACTCACACAGCTGCAATGGCTTATGAACCCAAGATTGGCAGGTAAGATAGCAGGCTACTAGCTCACAGGCTGCAGAGGTCGGTGAATCTGAAGATCAGCAGGCAATCCAGCAGGCCACTGGCTCAAGTCCCAATAAGGCCAGATGACATCAAGCCGGATGCATGATACAGAGTGAGCAAAAGAGCCAGTGAGCTTTGCCAGAACATCCATATATATTGGATGCAGGCCATATCCCCAAGGAAGGACCCTTCATGACTGCTTGGCTGAACATATCAGATCACATCATGGAGGTGAAAACATTATACCACAAAATGGAGGATAATTGTATCATTGCATAACTGCCAAAGTATATCATTACATAACTGTCAAACTACTGAGAATCATGGCCTAGTCAAAATGATACATAATCTTAACTATCAAAGTCCACCCTTTGTCAACCTGGTGCATGTACACATCTCCTTAAACAATAATCTCCAGATAAAGACAATTATAAAGTCATACTTGCACCTAACATGATACAACTAACACACGACAACTGAAAATGTACTAGCTCTGTTTACATCTTGTATTTTATAATAAGTAATGGAATGAAGGAGGTAAGAAAACAAATACACACACACACACATATATAACAAAACAAGGAAGAAATACTCATAACAATTACATTCCTTGTTTCTGCAACTGGTCACATGGTTGTAGCTGGTCTTTAGAACTGCTTTCTTCCACTATCCATCCCCAATTCCCTTTTTCTTCACCAACTATCTCAGCTAGTCATGGTTCTTAGCCTAGAAAGTGGCCCAAACCTTCATTCCTGAGGTGTCTGGGTCATTAATATCATGTCAGAATTGAGTTGCTGTGCTTTTCCATTGACTTTAATCATAGGGCATATCAGTACTAAGAGACACCTTAGGGGGTCTCCTGTATTCCAGAATGCTCTTTTTTACCTGTATTATGTAACATAAATCTGATTTCCCCTTAATAATAAGGATCAATCACCCAGCCAATATGGTAACTCCTTCTTCATCTTTTGTTCCAGAGGCATGAGGAGCCCAAAGTGGCCAGGAGGAATTCTTAACTTCCAGTTCAATGGAATCAGTGTTTCATCTTCTGGTGGAAGCATTCTTCCCTGTGGATCTAAGACCTCTAGACCAGCAGAGCATAGGGTCATGGGGACAGGAAGAAAAATTTTGAAAATGGGTCACTAGGGGCAATAGTGAGCCACTCCCAATTCCACTCCTCGATTCCTGGACCCATGAATCCTAGCTGTGGAAGAAACAGTTTCATATAGTGGATGCTAGTTTAGAGCATACACAACCTCCTAGAAAACAATGCCCCAAGAATGCAAAGTATTGCCATCTAGCTGGCAACATAACTGTATCTTTAGAAGGTCATTCCATTGTTCTATCAAGCCAGTTATTTCAGTATGATAAGGAAAATCATAATATTAGTGAATTCCATGAGGATATGCCTATTGCCACACTTCATTTGCTGTAAAGTGAGTCCTTTGATCCGAATTGGTGCTCTGTAGGATACCTTGACTGTGGATAAAGATTCTGTAAGTCCATGGATGATAGCTTTGGCAGAAGCACTGAATGCAGGAAAGAGTAAGACAGAGTAAGTGTCTATTCCACTAAGAACAACATGCTGCCCTTCCCATAATGTAAGTAGTCTAATGTAATCAACCTGCCACCAGGCTGCTTGCTGGCTGATCACCCTAAGAAATGGTTCCATATCAGGGAGAAGCATTGACTCAGTGTTGGTCTCTGCTGCTGGGCACTAGCAGTGGCTGTAGCCTACTCATGAGTGAGTGAAGTCCATGCTACTGACCTCGTGCATAACTTCCATTCTTGCTACCATGACCACTATGTTCATGAGCCCTTTGGGCAATGATAGGAGTGGCTAGGGAAAGAAGATGACTATTATCTACAGAACATGTCATCCTATCCACTTGACTGAAAATTCTCCTCTGCTGATGTCACCTTTTGGTGAGCATTCACATGAGATGCAAATATCTTCACTTCTTTGGCCCATTCAGAGAGGTCTATCCACATATCTCTTCCCCATATCTCCCTGTCACCAATTGTCCAATCATGTTCCTTCCAAGTCCTTGACCATCCAACCAAACCACTGGCCACAGCCCATGAATCAGTATACAACTGCACACCTGGCCTTTTCTCCTTCTAAGCAAAGTGAACAACCAGATGCACTGCTCAAAGTTCTGCTCATTGGCAGGATTTCCTTTCATGACTGTACTATAGGGAGGTCCCAGAAAGGGGCTGAAGTGTTGCCACTGTCAATTTTCAAGTGTTGTCTGCTACCATGTAGATCCATCTACAAACTAGGCAGTAGCTTTCTCTTCCTCAGTCAACTGATCATAAGGAATTTCCATGATGCCATAGGGGAACACAGGGAGAAAGAAGGTAATGTGACAGCAGTGGAGACCATGGGCATTTGGGCCACTTCTTCCTCATATAACTTACTTGTGCCTTCAGGCCCTGCTTCAGCGGAATCTTATATATACCACTTCATGATGGTCAGCTCAGGCTGCATGGTGACTAGGTGTCCCATGGTTAAGTGTCCAGTCTCTACTAAGGCCCAGTAACAAACCAAAAGGTT